AAAAAAAAAATTGTAGCTGGTGACTTGGAATATTGATGAATTTAGGAAACCTGAGTTCGGGTTGAGGGTTGAAATGAATGTTTAGAAATATTGTTAGAATACGGTAGAAATTCTTCATTGGTTATTCAACCTTTACTGCATTAGTGCCATACTTGAGAACAAACAATTAATGCTTTTTACTTATTCAACTGGGTTCTATGGTCAATTTTGTGGCGATTGTAAATGTTGTGTGTGTATAATTCAACCTGTCATGCAACATGTGATATTATGCATTTACGAACATTGATTTATGATGCTGTATATGATTTTTTTAATTTACTCGTGTTGTAGGACAATCTTATTATAAACAAGATGGAAGTTAGTTATTTATAATAGATTTTCCAGTTGTAATAGGCTTTATCGTTTTTTCTTCTTTCTAAAATAGCTGAGGATTATTTATTTATTTTTATTTTTTTTTGGGCTTGATTAGAATAGGATCTTCTTTCTTTTAGATTAAGATTTTGTTTCCTTTTAGGATTTTAGTTTGGTTTCCTTATATTGATAAGATTAGGAAATTATTTGCCTATATAAACACAGGATTTGTATACTTTTCGTTAACCAATTTGTTATAATCAAATTATTCTCTATATATTTTTGAGTTTTTCAATTTTATTCTTGTTTTAAGAATTTCAATTCCAATTCCGCTCCGACTCAAGTATTGAGAACTTGTAATCAGCTAGTTTTCTCTAGTCTCCTTAACTTTTGATGATGGATTGATCTGGGGTATTGTTGATTTTAATGGCCACATCAAGGCTCAGGGAAAATGGATTGAATGAGTTTTGATTATGCTATTGCATTTGGCCTGTACATTCTTTACTTTTGCATGCTGCTCTTGGTTTTATTGCAATTTTGTTTAATAGATGGATGCTAAACTATATGATTTGAATCTCTGTTTGTTAGATTTGTCCAATTTGTCATGATATAAATGGAAAATGCCTATGTAGGACTAGTTTTCTATTTTTTAGACTTTTTCTGAATTGGGTTATATTTATTTGTTTATGTTGCTCAGGTCTTGGAATTCCTGGAATGAGAACAAACAACTAATGCTTTTTTACTTATTCAACTGTTCTATGGTTAATTTTTGTCGTTTGCAACTTTGGTATATAAAAAAACACACACTCGTGATTGTAAATGTTGTGAATGTATAATCAAACCCATCATGTAACATGTGATATTATGCATTTATGAGCATTGATTTATGATGCAATCTTATTATAAATAGGATAGAAGTTAGTTACTTATAATAGGATTTCTTCTTGTAATAGGCTTAATTACCTTTTCTTCTTTCTTATTTAGCCCATGTTTGTTCCCCATTATTTTCAAATACATTTTTCTCTCTTTTTTTTTCAAATACATATTCTTCAATAAGATAATAGTATATACAAACCCAAATATTTTCCTTATTTTTCAACGACACATTCTCCATCAGTCTACCATTCCAAAATGCATTCTTAAAAAAAATGGGGCTCAAACAGGCTTTTAGATTAGGATTTCTTTTCTTTCTTGATTAGAATATGATTTCTTCTTTCTTTTAGATTAAGATTTTGTTTCCTTTTAGAATTTTAGTTTTCTTTCCTTTAGGATTTTAGTTTAGTTTGCTTATATTGGTAAGATTAGGGAATTATTTGCCTATATAAACAAAGGGTTTGTACACTTTTAATTAACCAATTCATTATCAAATTATTCTCTATATATTTTTGACTTTTTCAACTTTATTCTTATTTAGTCTCCTTAACTTTTGATGATGGATTGATCTGAAGTAATGTTAATTTTAATGGCCACATCAAGGTTCAGGGAAAATGAAATGAGCAAGTTTTGACTAGGCTATTGCTCTGGGCCTGGACATTCTTTACCTTACATGCTGCACTTGGTTTTATTGCAATTTTGATTTAATAGATGCATTCTAAGCTATATGATATGAATCTTTGTTTGTTACATTTGTCCAAATTGTTGTGATATAATGGAAAATGCCTATGTGGGACTAGTTTTCTATTTTTAGACGTTTTCTGAATTGGTTTATATGTAAATGTTATGTCGCTCAGGTCTTGGAGCTCCTGGAAATTGGGTTTTGGAATGTAAAGAAGTGGATGCATTGAATATCAAAAAGCTTTTCAGTAGTGTTGATATTGTTTTTTAATGATAAAATTCTTAAGTGGTTAAGAGAAGGGCAATCCACAGATGGAGTGCAATAGAGACGAGGCCATGAGAGCAAAAGAGATTGCTGAGAGGAAGTTCCTGGATAAGGACATTAAGGCAGCAAAAAAATTTGCTCTCAAGGCTCAAAATCTATATCCTGGGCTAGAGGGCATTTCCCAGTTGATTAGGACATTTGAGGTTTATATTTCTGCCAAGGAGAAAATAAATGGTGAATATAACTGGTATACCATACTTGGTGTGACTCCTTTAGCTGATGATGAGACAGTAAGAAAACAATACAGGAAACTGGCTCTTCTGCTTCATCCTGACAAGAACAAATCTGTTGGGGCAGAAGGGGCATTTAAACTTGTTTCACAGGCCTGGAGTTTGCTGTCTGATAAGTCCAAGAGATTAGAATATGACAATAAGTATGGTACCACATTCCAGGAGAGGAATCAGACTACGAATGCAGGCCCTTCACCAACAAAGCAAAATGGATTTTACAACTTTGCAAAGAATACAGCTTCAAAAATGAAGGTTCCAAAGGGTAATTCTAGTAAGAGGGATGCCTCGTCCGGTCCTGCTCCATCTTGTAAGAAGGAACGGCGTACATTTTGGACTGTCTGTCATCGATGCAAGATGCAGTATGAATATCTCAGGATGTATCTTAACAAGCATTTGCTCTGCCCAAATTGCCTTGAGGCCTACTTCGCAACAGAAATCGAGCCACCATCTGCAGGGTTTAATATCAGTAATCCGTCCAATCACAGTAACTTGCAACAGGCTCCTTTCTTTGAGTCAAATGGTTCTGCATCTACCGCTCAAGCTGCAAATATGGTGCAGCAGGCTTTTGAGAAAGTGAGAAGAGAGCGTCAGAAAAAGCAGGCTGCTACTAGAAGGGAGGAGGTAAATCGAAGGAAAAATCATTCCTCCAAAAGAACAATTGATGGCGGACGGTGTAATGCTGTGAAGAGAAGAAAAGGAGTTGAAGATTGTAGTATGAACAAGGATACAGTGAACGAGGTGAATTGCGACATTGATGTTAAACAGTCACTTATAGAGAAGGTTCAAGGTGAAATACGTCAGATGTCAAGTGAACGGACTTCAATTAGTGCTACCAAAACGACATCAGCCGGCGAAGCTTATGAAAATAACGTACAAAACGAAACAGCATATGAAAAATATAACAGTGTTACAAATAGTGCCAGATTGGATCAGAACGAGCCAGGCAAGGCTAATAGTCAAATTTCTCTTAATAAACTCGATTTTGGTGCTGATGTGGAATCCATTAAGCAAATATCAATTGATGTTCAAGATTCAGATTTTTATGATTTTGATAGAGACAGAATGGTGAGGTGTTTCAGAGATCGCCAGGTGTGGGCTGTGTATGATGGTGATGATGGGATGCCACGGTATTATGCCATGATTCGTAAGGTGATTTCTTTAAACCCTTTCGAGGTGAAAATCAGTTGGCTTAGTTCAAAAGCCAGTAAGTGGTTTGATTCTGGTTTTTCAAAAGCTTGTGGGGTTTTTAGAATGGGCAAACATGGAATTAGAACCTCACCCGACTCGTTCTCGCATAAGGTTAAATGGACAAAAGGCACTGATGGGACCATCCAGATACTTCCTCAGAAGGGGGACGTCTGGGCTCTGTACAGGAATTGGTCAGCCGAATGGAATGAACTTACAGAAGATACAGTAATACATAAATATGACATGGTGGAAGTACTTGAAGACTATGATGAAGAACTGGGCGTAGTTGTTATTCCCCTAGTTAAAGTTGCAGGGTATAAAGCAATTTTCCATCAGCTTCTGAGCCAAAGGGAAATAAAAAGAATCCCAAGGGAAGAAATGTCTCGTTTTTCTCACCAGGTACCATCCCGCTTTCTCACTGGTCAAGAAGGGTTGAATGCTCTGAAGGGTTGTCTGGAATTAGACCCTGCAGCTACTCCTTTGGAACTTCTCCAGGTTATATCAGTTGCTAAAGAAACCGAGTCCTTGAAGAATGAAGAGGAAATTACTGAAATAGTGGACCTAACTGATACTGATGGAAACACCAACATCAACAAGGGAAAAGAAATTTCTTGAAAAATGGGATGGGATGTAGTTCGAGAATAAGGGAAAGTGTGGGAGCATTGTTGGAATCTATTGAGAATCGGAGGGTTGAAAATTCATGGGAGATGGGAAACTGAAGAATTGATGAGTAATAGGATACCAAAGAATCTAAGCGTGAACTGAACAGTAAATGAGCAATTTCTTTCCTTCTTTTCTTCCTTAATACTACTTGTCCAGGACATCCCAGTCCTTTTTGCCGAACCTGCCATAAGAGTTTAAGATAATCTTCTTTGAGGTGGAGCGTCAAGTCTTTGGTTGCGATGTTGGAATGCAGTTCATTCAAGAAGTTTTGAAAAACTATTTACTTTTCAGCAATGATAGGAATATTTTGGTTCGAAATGTACATTTTTTGTACTAAGTTCATGTTGGAGCTGACAGATAAAGATTGAATTTTTAAATATCCTATAGATAACTGATATATTTTTCTCTTCAAGTGTCTTCCTATTTCTTGCTCCTTTACTTTTATGAGTTGCAATGTTTTTATCAGTACGTAAAATTTCGCGAGATGTGTATGATACACAGTATGTATCTACAGCAGGAGAGGTTAATTTAAGTGATTTCTTGGTTCATGCTTGTAACTAGTTGTAGATGTTGATATTAACGGCCGGGTATTACTTTATAGTTGTTCCTAATCAATTTTTCCAGTTCTATATGTGAAAATTGTGCACGTGCCAGTCAATTTTTTTCATGCAAGCTTGTTGAAAATAAAATGAATTGTTGATTTTTATTTTTCTCTTGCAAAAGATGACATTGCTAAGATTGGTGGCTGTAGATTTATGGATTCTTGAATTTGTGTATGTTGCTTGGACCGTAATTATAAAACAACATGGCTATCGACCTAGTTGAGGAATGAAGTAAATGATTTATTAGTTTAACCTTGATTTCTTGGTTTAACCTTGATGACTCGTTGAGTATTTTTCAACTTATTATTTTTCTCGCGGAAAAGATGAGGTTTTGAGAATGTTGGCTTTGAGTCTATAGATTTTGGAACTCATCGTCTATTGTTTGGACCATGGTCATGAGAGCTGCCATGAATATTGGCCTAGTTTAGGCATAGTTTAACAATGAAGTCTTGTTTCAATTCACGAGCTATTAATACTTGTATTGTCTTTTTTCGTGCAAAAGACGCCGTATCTAGAAAGATGGCTATAGATTTATAGATTCTATTGAGACCTGGCATGAATAATCATCTAGTTAAGGTATTGAATTTATGAGTTACCAGTCGAAACAATGTATTATCGGCTTATTTCATGAGTACCAATATATTTAATAAATAATATTTTGAAAATTGTCTCTGTTGTTTAATTGTAGTTGGTTTTGTCGATATGCTTCTATATAATAGTTTCTTTAATCATGTTCAAACTGGTGGCTCGACTTGTATGATTAGAATTACCTAACAAAGTTTACATTAAACACACATAGTCAAGTGATTACATTGTCAGTTGATGGGCTCAAAACAACCTATTTACATTGGCCAACAAGTATTAGAGCATAAATTTGGACGAAGTACTTCGTACATTAATTATTTGTGTCCTGTTATCATATGAGCAATAAACCATATGATTAACCTTAGTTATAAAATTAAGTGAAAAAAGAGAACGATATAACTGGAAAAACAGTCAAAACATTTGCTCTTTGATTAACAATTCCCACGGTATTGAATAATACAAATTTGAAGTCTAATCTTGATTTTCGACCTCTTAATTTGGTCCTTAATCTTTAAAAGTAAGCTAATTGCTTTATAATCTTTCATTAAAATTGCATAATCAATCTCCAAGAAGAAGCCAATGAAAATTCTTTTTTTCTTTTTATTCCACAACAAAAATTTTAGATCGTCACACTAAAATAACCATTTATCGCTCGTCGATGAGAGTAACATAGATTTAGAAGCAAGCAGAATGAGAATAATATCATAAATTTTACTTTTCAACTTTAAGTCATATCTGAAATTTTGAAGTGAAGTATGTTTTCATTAGAATTAGAATGACACGAACATTTAACGAAGATCATAATGTTTTTTATAATCATAATGAATTGATTATGTAATTATAATAAAATATTGAAGACTAACTTGTTCCTTTTTAAACATTGAGCCCTAAAAGTGCAATTTTCCCTTAAAATGGAAAATAAAACCGAGAGAATGTGTGAATAGCGTACGTGGACCTTGGGTACCAATCATTTGCAAACACGTGTACAATATACGCGTTTGATCCAATCACAATTTACATGGTTACACGTCCTCGGGAGATTCTGTCAATTTTTTCTCTCAAGTATTTTGTATAAATACCCTCAAAATAGTTTCTCACACAATAAAAAGGAAAAATAATAATAATAAAGAGATCGGTGGTACATTGCTTCGCAGGTGCTAGATCGCCTTACCGGATACCCGATCTCCCCGTAATCATGGTGAAAATCTGATCTTGAATTCTCTTCTGTATTTTGATTGGTGTTTTTGTTGTTTGAAATTGTCAGTTTGATTTATATGTAGTACATTTTGTGTTTATTTAACTGGATTTATATATTTTTGTTTGGGAGGTTAAGGAATTGTTAATGAGCGATTGATCTGATTTTGTTATCAGTTATGTCATTTTCCTATTTTAATATTTTTAAGCCCGTGTAATTATTGATTTTGTAGCTAAATCTCAATAAACGATTGTTCATTGCGAGGTTGCAAATTCACTTGAGATTTTTTTTTTTGGGGAAAATTGAAAACAGCTATGATCGAAGAGACTGTGGTAGTTATTTAAGAAATTAATAATTAGGAGATTGGTATCGACTTCGGACAAATATTGCATGCCAGATTGTATTATAAACATTATAGGGCTTTTATCTTTTCAAATTTAATTTGGGATCTCGATGGTCTGAGTCATAATTTGACAAAAAAATAATTAGTTTATTCTTTTAAACTAAGGGATAATGTTCAGCATTATCTGCAGAATAATGCTGTGATTGCATGTGTTGATCTGCAGTGATGATCTAAATAGTTCATTGAACGATGGCAAGAATTTAGTAATTATATGGTGGTAATTTAGCTACTTAAAATGAGAACAAAAGTTTGAATTCGTTAGAGTTTCACTTAGGTGAATTATGATGGATTTAAAGGGGCAAAAAAAAAAAATAGTGCTCTAGTCTACTCAGTGCGGTAAAGTCAGGTTCGTACAGCCAATTTTGCTTTTATCTTCACTTCGATTTGACTTAGCTCCCGTTTGGCCTCCATTATATTGAAATGAAAATATGTAGAATAGTATTTTTTTGAAAAATGAGTGGTTAAAAAGAAAGGAAAAGTTGTCGGCAGGGGTGGATCCAAGATTGGATCCAAAACCAGAATTAAAAAATAAAAAATAAAAAAATTCTTGTGCTTTGGGGGGCTAAGTCCATCTGCCCCTGGTTTTTAGTTTATGTATAATATTAATTTATGAAAGATTGTGTGGTTGAAAATAGGAGAGAGAAAAATAAAATGTAATGGAATGAAAATTAATTAGGGCCAAACGGGGGCTTATGTCATTAGATGTGTAAACACGTAAAAACCTTTTGTCAATCCTTTCCAGCTTTGAGTTGTAGTAGTCTTGAACAGATTCTAAACATTAGCAAATAGTTTCTACAAGAGACTAGGTGGAACCTTTTTTTTCTATTTAGGGGCTCAATTTTCTGAAGGTCATAGTTTTTTTTTTTTTTTTATTAATTTAGGGGCTCAATTTTCTGAAGGTCATAGTTGTGCTACTGTCACTTGTTATTTATTATCAAAATCCGGAGTTAATCTTTCGCACATCAAATGCAATATTTTGGGTAACTCATATGAAATCTCTGCTATTTTTATTCCCTTTCAGACAACTTCAAGAAGACTTGCTGACAGGAAGGTGGTGAAGTTTGAGAAGAACATTACCAAGCGCGGGGCTGTACAAGAGACTAGCACAAAGAAGGGAAACAATTATCCTGTTGGCCCTGTCTTGCTTGGGTTCTTTGTCTTTGTTGTCATTGGATCATGTAAGAAATTCTTAATTTTATTCACAAACTCGAACTCCTCTTTTGATATTAATTCAATGTTATTTTCTCTTTGTTGAATGGTGCTGCAGATACTATTCCCTTCTAATTAACTTAAGAACAGTTTTATAGTCAGATTGTTATCATTAAATATGTGTGGTAATAGATTTATTTAACCCCTGTTTGACATCCTTTAATTTACTTTAGCGGGGCTGTACAAGAGACTAGCACAAAGAAGGGAAACAATTATCCTGTTGGCCCTGTCTTGCTTGGGTTCTTTGTCTTTGTTGTCATTGGATCATGTAAGAAATTCTTAATTTTATTCACAAACTCGAACTCCTCTTTTGATATTAATTCAATGTTATTTTCTCTTTGTTGAATGGTGCTGCAGATAATATTCCCTTCTAATTAACTTAAGAACAGTTTTATAGTCAGATTGTTATCATTAAATATGTGTGGTAATAGATTTATTTAACCCCTGTTTGACATCCTTTAATTTACTTTAATTTATTTCTCATGCTAATTTTCAAGCACACATTAAATTCAAATTTTTTATCTACATTTTAACCACACATTCTCCAAAAAATATTATTCAAAACATAGCCTTTTACAATTGAAGGCCACCAAACAGGTAACTAATTTCAGGCATTGATCTTCTCTGTTGTATTTGTGGGTGTACTATTGAATCATGAAATTTTTCTTTCTTTTGCTTTCACATGCATTTATTTTCCTTTGCGGAATTGTGCTTTTAAGTAAATCAAAATTTCTTCCATTATCTTCTTCCCCATTCGTAATGAGAGTCGAATTTCTAATCTCTCTCTTTTTTTTCCCTTCATCTACCAGCGCTTTTCCAGATAATCAGGACAGCGACCAGTGGAGGCATGGCTTAATCATCTTTTGATATAGTCGTCGTTAGGCTGTTTTAGTTTGTTCTTCCGAACATTATTAGACCCAGCGTTGCCTCTTCTAGGACTGTTGTTAACTATGTTTTGAGGAACTTCGAAAGCCTTAATAAATTTTCTCCTTTGTTGTCTAGAGTACAGTTGTTTTCCATCTTTGTTACTTACGTTGCTACATCATAGTGAGGTATACCAATTTAATTTTAATGCACCGTGTTCTATTTTTTGCTTATCCTATTTTACATCGTGGTGACGCTTACTCGTCATTATGTTTATGTTAAAAGGTTGAATTCCAATCTTGAGGGCTCTCACCGTCCTGCCCCTGAAATATCGTGAGGAAGTAAATTGTGAAATGTGCCCTGCAGGTCAGAGATCAAGAGCTTGTCAATACACTGGTACCCACAAAAAGTCCAATTTCATGTTACATATATGACTGGACACGATCAAGGAAAAAGGAAAATTAAAATTAAAATTTTGACCGAAGTATATGGAGAGTTCACTCAGCTCCAAAAAAATAAATAAATTATAAACCAGATAAAATGATAAATTGAACTAATATAATAAAAGAACATTTGACACGATGATCATGGCACACATTTACAAAATGCATGTTTACGAATATGTTTGATGAAATAAGCCTGCAGAAAATTTTTTCACGAGATTATTTAATCAAATATTTTTAATTTGAAAATCAAGCCTCCATTTGGCAAAAGTTAAATCTTATATAAAAAGTTAAATTTCATTTTCAATCACACATTGAAATAGACTAACAAATACTATCCATTTATTTATCGCTCGTTTCTATCTATTTACAAATCAAACCGTTAAGCAGATGTGCAAAATAGGATATGACAATACAATAATTAGATGTATTCCAGATAATCAGGACAGCGACCAGTGGAGGCATGGCTTAATCATCTTTTGATATAGTCGTCGTTAGGCTGTTTTAGTTTGTTCTTCCGAACATTATTAGACCCAGCGTTGCCTCTTCTAGGACTCTTGTTAACTATGTTTTGAGGAACCTCGAAAGCCTTAATAAATATTCTCCTTTGTTGTCTAGAGTACATTTGTTTTCCTTCTTTGTTACTTATGTTGCTACATCATAGTGAGGTATACCAATTTAATTTTAATGCACCATGTTCTGTTTTTTGCTTATCCTATTTTATATCGTGGTGACGCTTACTCGTCATTATGTTCATGTTACATGTATGACTGGACACGATCCAGGAAAAAGGAAAATTAAAATTAAAATTTTGATCGAAGTATGTGGAGAGTTCACTCAGCTCCAAAAAAATAAAAAAAAAAATGAATAAATAAATAAATAAAAATTATAAACCAGTTAAAACGATAAATTGAACTAATATAATAAAAGAACATTTGACACAATGATCATGGTACACATTTACAAAATGCATATTTACAAATATGTTTGATGAAATAAGCCTGCAGAAAATTTTTACACGAGAGTATTTATTCAAATATTTATAATTTGAAAATCAACCCTCCATTTGGAAAAAGTTAAATCATTTATAAATTAATAGTTAAATTTCATTTTCAATCACACATTGAAATAGACTAACAAATATTATCCATTTATTTATCGCTTGTTTCTATCTATTTACAAATCAAACCGTTAAGCAGATGTGCAAAATAGGATATGACAATACAATAATTAGATGTACGAAAATTAAGATTCATATGGTATCTACTGAAGAAATATTTTCTTCAATGAGGAATATTACTGATGAAGAATCCTTCAGAGAAAATTATACAAACATTATTTGCCGTGCTTTAGTAGAGCTCCCATTTTGATTACAAACCAGATAACTGAACCACAGCATTAAGATTAAAACAGTTCAAATGTACATTATGTTTAAACAGGATACAAAGACAGGTTAACCGTCAAAAAAAAATAAAGGGGGGGGGATCTCAGGGATAGCATAAGCAAACCCTTATTACCTAAGCAAGTCATATGAACCTGCTTTCCATAAAACTCCAAGCACCATATATTTGGCATTCTGTCAACCTCCTTCCCTAAAAGCGTCATCTTTTGCAGCTCCCATATGCAGACGCACGTGGCAGCATTCTTCGTCAGCAGCCCCACGAGCATGATCTTTCCTCCATATTCTGCTAATGCATGATCACTCAAATGTACGGGGGGCGGGATTATGAATTGTTTCCAAACCCCCGTGACCATATTATAGGACACGATCCCATCAGGGAGTGAACGCAAGAAGTAAAGAGTTCCGTTAATAGATACTGCCTGAGACCTGAAGTTTAGTGCCAGTGGGAGCTTGATATTCGGGGGCATTTTACCTGGATGGGTCCATGTGTTCTTTGTGGAGTCATAGACTTCATACTCCCCATCACAACCAACCCAAAGGATCTTATATCCCTCATTGGTAGATTTTCCGTTTAGAGTCATCCCAACTGCCACACGGAACCAAACTTTAACTGACCTAGCAGGTAACTCTTTGAAGGACTTCAAAAGAGGGTTGCACACGTAAAAGCTTCTATGTCCAATGTCAAGAAAACAGACGAGACCCCCTGCTGATGCCACTGGCAAAACAATCGATTTTGTTGGCAAGGCAGGAATAGCCAGGTGGTGCCATTTTTTCATTGATGGATCATACATGGCTCCAGCATTAATAAGTTCATGAGTGATAGTATAAAACCAAGTTTGCGTTTGATTCACTTGAGCACATTGTTGGGAGAAACTTTCGGAAGTTGGCAAGGAATTCCACTTTCGGCAAACAGAACGAAAGCGGAAAAACGTGGCGACCGGAACTCTTGCTATCACGGATTCGAAAAGGTCTTCGGGAAATTCTTTCCAGATAAGCTGTTCCATAGTTTCGCTTGAGCTTGTAGTTGCAGTCGCCTTTACCTGATTATGCTCCTTACGAGCTTTCTTTCTTGGTGGAGGTTTGCCTGGTTCCAACATTTTGAGATTTTCAGACTTACCAGCAGTCATTATGAGATTATAGCAACCACCTTCCACAAAGCTATTTTCAAGATCAAGAAAACACCATCTGCAAATCAATAAAGATTCATAAGATTCTCTGGAATTACGAAATGGCAGGAGTCGTTAGGTGGCATTGTAAATTTAACTAAATAAACAACATCACAATGCAAAACAGTAACAAAGTCAGCTAACAGTTTGAAGAGGTTTTAAACGCTATATATTAAACATGAAGAATATCCATGATAAAAACAGGAAAAATAACTATTGACTTTCGAAGGTTGTTAGAAATAGTAAATATTAGAAACAAATTATTCAACAAGCAGAGAAAGAGGGAGGGAGGCAGGGAGGCAGGGGG